GGTCAGAGGGCGACTTCTGACCCCAAAACGTGCGTGCGTGTTGACGTCGTGACGTCACGCGCACGTCAGAATAAACTTCGGGGGCGGAGCTATGATTAGGCGCGACCACAGGTCGCATATCCATGTCCAGTATTTTGTTCTTTTCTTCTTTGACTCATTCATGTTGGATAATGTTCCAGAACTGTCATGTTATGCTTATGTTCTTGTCTGAAATTCTGGTTTCATTCTGTACATAGATTTCACATATTCCATTCATATTTTTAATCACAAATAATGTAATTGATTCTGATGGGCTTGAAGTTTTATGTCCTATGCTGCTGGCCAGGCTTTAAGGGTTAATTACAAAAAAGATGGGTAAATGGCGCTAAAAACAGAATATAATATGAAATAGATGTATCCCAATGCGACTAAAACCAAACCAGTGTTAAGTTACATTTAAACACTTACATACATGGAATTGGATACTAAGGAAGGAGGTTTGCACACACGATGGATAAATACGGTTTAATTCTATAACATATAAGAAACCTTCATAGGGCAATATATATACGTAAAATGCTAAATAAAAGCATAGCTAGGAGCACTCACAATCTAGAGAGCCATATAAGTCGGCTCTGAATTGTAGTAGTGTGTAAGTAACTCCAATGTAGTAGCTGTAGTAGAGATGAGGGTCCCCCAGTGAAGGAAATTTCTCCATCTGGAGGAAGATTCAGGAACCAAAATAAATTTAAAAGTAGCTCTCTATTAAGAAATTAAAATAAGCATAGACAATAGCACAACGCGTTTCAACCACTCTCTTGATCTTCCTCAGATGCAATTACCAGTGCTCCTAGTTATGCTTTTATTTTGCATTTTATGTATATATATTGCCCTATGAAGGTTTCTTATATATATTACAGATTTAAACCGTATTTATTCATCGTGTGCGCAAACCTCCTTCCTTTGTATCCAATTTAAGGGTTAATTGCCACCAGTGGCGTACATATGACCCATGGGGCCCCGGTGCGAAAATTGATCCTTGGGCCCCCCCCCAGCGCGCGGGCCGGGCCGAAACACATGGCGGTGGGCACCTGGTCGCAGGGGTTACAGGGCTGCGACCCCTGCGACCGCGGTATGTACGCCACTGCATGCAGATGCACACACACTTAAAGGACCACTACAGACACCCAGATCACATCAGCTCAATGAAGTGGTCTGGGTGTCAGGTCCCTCTAGTTTTAACGCTGCAGCTGAAAACATAGCAGTTTCAGAGAAACTGCTATGTTTCACTGAGGGTTAATCCAGCCTCTAGTGACTGTCTCACTGACAGCCGCTAGAGGAGCACACTGAATGTCCATAGGAAAGCATTGAGTAATGCTTTCCTATGGGCGGTTTGAATGCGTGCGCGGTTGCATTCGGAGCTGAGAGGCTGAGGGATCCCCAGCGCCAAGAGAGTCCAGCGCAGGAGAAAGGTAAGTGCTGAAGACACACACACTCTCACTTACAGACGCATACACACTAGCTAACAGACACACACATTTACTGACATACACTCTCATTGACAAACAAACTCACTAACAGACATCAAACAGACTCACTAACACACACACACTCAGTAAGACACACACAGTAACACACTCACTGACACTCACTAGCAGACACACACTAACACTCACTCTCACTCTAACACTCACTAGCAGATACTCACGCTCACACTCACTCTAACACTCACTCTAACACTCACTCTAACACTAACACTCACACACACACTCTCTAACACTAACACTCATACATTTTTTTTTTTTTAAATCCCCCCAACCTCCTTACCTTTTGAAGTGCTGGGGGGATTCCCAGGCGGGCGCACGAGGGAGCACTCAGTGCTTCCCCTTCAGCTCCCTCGCGCGCCGCGTAGGGATGCCGGAGCCGGAAGATGACGTCATCTTCCGGCTTCGGTATCAGTGCGGTGTGCAAGGGAGCTGAAGAGGAAGCACTGAGTGCTCCTTGGTGTGCCCGCCTGCCCGACCGGCCACCCGCCTGCCGGGTGTCAGCAGGGCCAGCCTCGGGGGGCCCTGGGGTGGCCGGCTCCTGGGCCCCCCAGGGGAAGAGGCTGGCCCTGTGGGTACATACCGGGTTGCAGGGGCGGCCGGGCCCCCTGGTGGGCCGGGCCAGGTCGCAGCCGCGACCCCTGTGACCCTGGTATGTACGCCACTGATTGCCACTGCAGGCTTGGAAGGTCTGTGGCATGCTTACCAGAGGTGAATTTCTCCTTGCTAGATCTAAATATTCTATTTCCAGTGACAAGTGGAAATGTTGAACCGTGGGCTAGGTTAATTATTTTAAATGTATCTTTTTAGTGAAGCCTTCACAGTGGTAATAATCATGTTTCACTATTTATACTCTGTAGTAAATCGTAGCGGACGATATGTATTAGTTTTCCTATGGCCTCTGAGCACAATCTTGTGAGTTCTATTCCGTATTACCTTTTCCACTGGGATGTTATTTGTTTTGTTCCTCTTGCTACTGCTCACATATCTGCAGATGAGTCGAAGGTGGGCTACAATGGACCCTGAAGATCGTTCTACCATCTCTGGTAAGTCCTATATAATTTACTTGTATCTGCACAAAATCTGCTATTATTTATAACAAAGGAATATTTAAAGCAACAGTATATTTTCCAGTGCTGCTTGTTTTAAGTTGTCATACTGTTTTGCAATTTAATATATGGTATTATCCTGCCTGGTTATCCTATATTGTGGTTTTGGTTTCCAGATAATTTTTCATATTATGCTTTGGATAGATACAGTATCTGATCAGACGATGTGTCTGTTTATGCACTTATTATTTAACTACCTATTTCATCATGTTTGGTTGTGTTTTTAACCACAGTTTGCAAGTTATCTGATACTTCTGGTAACCGTATCTTGTCTTACTATTCATTATTAGAGTTGAGCGAACCCGGACTGTAAAGTTCGGGTTCGTACCGAACATTAGGTTTTTTGGACCCCGAACCCGAACATATCACTGTATGTTCGGGTTAGAGTTCGGTGTTCGGCGATTTAATGGTGCGTTTTGAAAGGCTGCAGGGCAGCCAATCAACAAGCGTTTGACTCGTGTGCCCTTAGAAGCCATCACAGCCATGCCTACTAATGGCATGGCTGTGATTGGCCAGTGCAGCATGTGACCCAGCCTCTCTATATAAGTTGGAGTCGCGTAGTGCTGCACACACCTGCGGTCTTATTAGTGTAGGGAGATAATGCTGCCGCTGATAGGGACAGCTTAGGAAAGAATTCTGCAAACTAGTACATTAGTGGGGTGGGGTGCACTTCATATCTGAGAGTCAAATAGAAGCTTCAAATACCGCGGTTACATCAGTGTTTTAAAAAGTCTATTTTTTTTGGTGCTAAATAGTACATTAGTGGGGTGCACTTCATATCTGAGAGTCAAATAGAATCGTCAAATACTGCTGTCACATTGCAGTTTTAAAACTTTACTTTTTAGCACCCAAATAATGTTCATTAGTGGGGTGCACTTCATATCTGAGAGTCAAATAGAAGCGTCAAATACTGCTGTCACATTGCAGTTTTAAAAATTAAAATTATTTGGGTGCTAAATTGCTAAATAGTATTTTAGTGGGGTGCACTTCATATCTGAGAGTCAAATCGAAGCGTCTAGTAGTGTGCTTACAGCGCAGTTGTAAAAATTCTAACTTTCTGGATGCTAATCTGATAAATAGTACATTTTGGGGCCTGCTCTTCATATCTGAGAGTAAAATAGAAGCATCTAATAGTGCGCTTGCAGCGCAGTTCTAAAAATTCTAATTGTTTTGCTGCTAATCTGCTGCTTACATTGGAGTTTTAAACAGTCAATTTAAAAAAAAAAAAATGTTGTGCTAAATAGTATATTTGAGGTGTTCACTTCATATCTGAGAGTCAAATCGAAACGTAACTGATTCGAATTTACTACATCGGTCACTTGTAATATTGTTTCACACCTACAACACTTGTTACACAGATCTAGATAGAAAACAGATTTATATTTTCTACACTAGAAATTACCAGATAACAAGCTGCTATATTTAAACCAGTTATCAATAGCTAAGAGGTACTTAAACAATATTGTAATTCTGGGGCAATACCCTCACAAGTCAAATTGAGAGGTCAGCTTATAGGGAAAACTGGTGACTGGATACAATTCTAAAACAATTTCCATGTGTCTTTTGCATGTATATGACTTATATGTATATGACTTTACATGCTGGAAAAATCACAGGTGCCAACTGCTGTGGCTTTCTGCAGTGTGCATACCGGCAAGGAGGGCAGGGTTGAGGAGTGGGTGGAAGATGATGTGGAGGATGATGAGGTCCTAGACCCAACATGGAATCAAGGTCATGCGAGTGACGTGTGCAGTTTGGAGGAAGAGGCGCTGGTCGCACAGAGGCACCAGCACAGCATAAGAGGGAGCAGGGTGCAAAAGCGGAGCGGCCGCCGTCGGCATGTATTAGCTCGACAATGACCAGTTATCCAAACAATACATGTAGTGATCAAAGGATCCATAATAGAGTTGAGCGAACCCAAACTGCAAAGTTCGGGTTCGTACCAGATATAACGATCCATTCGTAGTTTCACAGTCAGGTGGGCAGTCCGGTGACCAGGACCCAGACACTGTCTGGGCGGCGGTTGGATGACCGGGACCCAGTATGCCTGATGTTGAAGTTAGGAATCACAGTGTGGAATGGATTAGCAGGGTTTGGTGCAGTGTAACCGCATGCCCCCTGGTGTTGAGCACCAGCGTTTGTGCGGCCATATACCAGGACCCTGATGCAGCTTCAGTAAAAAGAGTACTGGATACCACAAGCCCTCACCAGACTGGTCCACAACTTGGAACAGGATGTGACATTCACTGTAGCAGCTGTGCACGCTTTTGGTGTTCTCACCCTGCTGCTGCTCGCCTGTCTGCACTGCAGCGTAACTTCAGTCTTCCCGCTCACCACCTCATGAGACTCTGCAAGCAGCAGCAGGCGATAGTGGAGTTTCAGCTGCAGCACGCACGTGTCAGTGGCTCTGCACCAGACTCCAATTGATCAGAGTTAAAGGATTTCAAGTGGACTCATTACAATAACAGGGCCTCTAAAGAGTCTTGTATTGTTATTTGTCGTCACTACCTTCCCGCGTCGGAAGTGGGTCATTTCCGCACCTGCTGCCTTCCTTGCATGTGGTAGCCGTTTCTCAGGGTCCCTGTACGGAATGGAACCCTGATTCCCCGTTACCCGTGGTCACCATGGTAGGTGCAGAAACTGGAATCCAAAGTTTATATGGATGACATCCAGATGCAAAGTCGCCGCCACAGGGATGTGCGATTTGGCCCGAGATTCTCTAGAGTCAACAAAGTGCCCGCGCAACTATAATGTCAACAGCTAGTCTGCGGAACAGAGTTGTCTTTTTTATATGTCCCAATATTTTGGGGGCTACCCCAATTAAAATAAAAAAAATATATATATATAAACAGTGTTGGCTACCTCCTCCACCGCCGCTTCCACCTACACCGCCACGGTCACCGCCTCCTCAACCTATGGGTCACGTAGTATAAACTATGTACACAATAGCAGAGGCTTGTGAAGGCCTTTTCTCCATGCATCGGGAGTTAAGCTCAGTTTGAACAATGAAAGAGAATACCCTGCACTCCAACCCTCTCTCAAATGGATAATTTTGGTGATCCTCCTGGCAGCCATGCTTTAGATTTTGATTTATGTTCTTCCAAAGCTAAAATCAAAGATTCCATTTTTGTGGCTCAGCTGTATTTTTAATTTTTATGTTATTTTAAGTGATTTCCCTATCCACATTTGTTTGCAGGGCACTTGACCTACTCTTATCCCCATTTTACTTGCTTTTGCAGCTCTCTAGCTCTTTCCAGGAGTTTTTTAGAGGCATTTTTGTGCCCAAAAGTTCGAGTCACCATTGACTTCAATGGGGTTCGGGGTCAAATTCGAGCCCGCACCCCGACTTTTTTCCAAAGTTCGGCCGAACCCGCCGGACCCGAACATCCTGGTGTCCGCTCAACTCTATTCATTATGTTTTTGGGGCAATTCAGGTATAAAGAGTATCCTGATATTTGTAATGCTTCGATACCTTGAACTTAGTGTCATAATAAGGTGTGTCTCAAACAATTTCATTCTAACACTGTTCTTAATGATTTTTTTTCTGTTCTCAGATGTCACTATATATAGTCTTCTACCTCTTACAATACTACAATACTACATTGTAGCATCCAGCCAGTGCCTCACGCCTTGAGAGAATGTTTTAATTTCTTTATGGGAGATTATGTTAGTCTCTGATCTCTGAGAAACTGTAAGAATTAGCAGCTTCTCTGATGCTATAAGTGTCCTCAGACTTGAAACTATTCCTGTTTCACCTGGCCTATTCACTCACTGTTGGTTTGTGCCACAGTTCATCGGCCAACTTATATCTAATACCTTTATTGATTTTACCATTCAGTTTGCAATTATAAGGATGCCAATGTTTATTCGGGTTAGAAGTTTGATTCCCTGTTACTTCTTTCGAACACTATTTTGGGCACCTTCTGCAGTTGTCTTTGACTGGGGGGAGGTGTTTTTCTTACTGCACATGATAATCAGGGCCGGAACGGGAATTAAAAGCAGCCCTGGAAAAAAATTATTTACCAGCCCCATAATGCGTCGTGCCAGCATAGTGTGCAGATACAGAGTTAGAAAAGATAACTTAAAATTAAAAATAATTACTCCAACGTAAAAAAAAAAAGCACTCATTGGCTTCAAAATAAACAAAAGTGCAGATTTATTTTAAGCAGACGTGCCTTTGCATGTAATCAATGTTTCAGTCCAACTACCTTGACATATCAAGGAAAGCTTGGTAATGGGACTGAAATGGTGAATGTAGGTAGGGTACAACTGTAAACAAAATGACGTTATCTTGTTTATTTTAAAGTCCTGTGGGTGCGCTCTTCACTTTAACCCCTTAAGGGGGTTGTCATGATTCCCTTTTATTCCAGAAGTTTGGTCCTTAAGGGGTTAAACATGTTTTTGTGCTGGAGTATGCACCAAGCAACAAGACTGGGCCAATATCTGCTCATTACATATGGTACATATTAATGACATTTCTCTGTGTATTATGCATATATAAATCTACATTAATATATGTGTAAATAAATAGGCATAAATATATATATCCAAAGTTGATATGGATGACGTCCACATGCAAAGTCGCTGCCATGAGGATGTGCGATTTGGCCCGAGGTTCTCTAGAGTCAACAAAGTGCCTGCGCAACTATAATGTCAACAGCTAGTCTGCGGAACAGAGTTGTCTTTTTTATATGTCCCAATATTTAAGGATATATATATATATCTTCCACTCTCTTTCTCCCCCCTTTCCCTGTGTGTGTGTGTCTCTCTCTCTCTCTCTCTCCCTCCCTCACATCTCTCTTCTCCTGTCTCTTTCTCCCCCCTCCACCATCTCTCTATTCCCCCTCTTTCTCACTTTTCCCCCTTTGTCTCTTTCTCCCTCCTTTCCCTGTGTGTCTCTCTATTCTCACACTGTCTTTCTTCCCTCTTCCCTTGCATCTAAACTTTTCCCCCTCTCTGTTTTATTTTCCCCCCCTCCCATTGTTTCTCTCTATTCCCTTCCCCCACCCTCCCATTTACCTAGAGAAGTCAGAGGGGGCCGGCCGCGTTCCACACCGGAGCCAATGCTGGAGCTGCCGGGCCGGCGGCACTCTGCTGTCACTAATGCTGAGGACTGAAGGAGAAGGGAGGAGCATGTCTATCATGCTCCCTTGTGGTTCCCACAATTCCCAGCACAGTACTGTGCTGGGAATTGTGGGAACCGTGAGAGAGCATGATAGACATGCTCCTCCCTTCTCCTTCAGTCCTCCGCATTAGTGACCATAGACATCAGCAAAGTGCCGCCGGCCCGGCAGCTCCAGCATTGGCTCCGGCGTGGAACGCACCCGGCCCCCTCAGAGTGTGCCACCGGACCGGCCATCCAGTGGCACCTACCTGCGTATCCCCCAGATGCTGCGGCGCACCGGGAAATTTCCCGGTATCCCGGTGGGCCAGTCCGGCCATGATGATAATCTAAGATTAATTTCGTGGCCTGGTTTATTTCTCCTGCTCATTTGTTGGAATATTTTTCAGATCTGTATAATTAGACGCTGTTGTCCAGGAATGGACAAGTGTTGCATTCCTGGATATTGTAAATTGCTGATTTCAGTGTGTTTTGGCAATCTAAAAACTGGTGGTTATAGTCCTATGACATCTATGGTCCCACTTACAGTCATCTGGCTATACCAGAGTTGTGTAACAGTTTTTCTGTTATCTATTCACAGATTTCACAATTTGGATACTCAAAGAAAGTGGCCTTATTTTACATTTTGGGAAGTTTCCCATAAACTCTGCAGTCCAGAGTTTGCTTTTTCTTACCTGATTTTACAAATATTGGTGGGTGCTTGTTTATTTCCCTCCCATCAGATGTTGAGCATGGGTATTACCCTATTGTGATGCTGCCATGGATTAGCCAGGAATAAGGAAAATTTTTACCATAGTTACTGTAATTTCCTTTTCCTGGATATATCCATGGCAGCATTGCATCCCTTCCTTATGTATCATTTTTTTAAAAAAATTTTAAATTTATTTTTAAGGAGCTTTGAACTAGACTGGAGATCCGGTCTGGTAGGAGTAGTATTTATACTTTTATTTCCTGTCCTAAACAGCCAAGTGGGCGGAGCTAACCCTATTGTGATGCTGTCATGGATATATCCAGGAAAAGAAAATTACGGTAAGTATGGTGACATTTTCCTTATTACTGTGGTTGAAAGTTTAGGATCCAGTGATCACCAATCAGTGTGGTTTAATATAAGAACAGTGACTGAGTCACACCACACAAAAACAAAATTTTTAGACTTTAGAAAAACAGACTTTTCTAAAATTAGAATATGCGTAAAGGAGTCCTTGTCAGACTGGAGCAGTTTAAATAGAGTCCAGGAGAAATGTGATTATTTAAAAGTTGCACTGCTGAAGGCAACAGAAAATTGCATTAGGCTTGTCCGTAAAAGCCAAAAATTTAAGAAACCACTGTGGTACTCCGCAGGTGTGGCCAAAATAGTAAAAAAAAAACTAAAAGTTAGCATTTATTATTATAAAAAAACCCATAGTGAGGAAGACAGAATGATCTATAATATTAGACAGAAAGAGGCTGAGCAAGTTATACAAGCTTTCAAATCACACACAGAAGAGAAAATAGCACAGTCAATAAAGGGGGATAAAACATATGTTTTAGATACATAAATGAGAAAAGGAAAGTAAAACAAGGATTAGTTAGATTAAAAACAAAAGAATGAAGGTATGTAGAAAAGGATAAAGATCTAGCTGATTGCCTCAATGAATATTTTTGTTCACTACTTACAGATGAAAATGAAAGAAAGGGACCTCAGTTAGGAAAAAGGACAAATGAGGTATTTGTTACATGTGAGTTTACAGAGGAAGAGGTACTATTTCAACTGTCAAATAAGTCGATGGGGCCTGATCCGATACACCCAAAGTTATTAAAAGAACTTAGTGGTGTACTAGCAAAACCATTAACAGATTTATTTAACCAATCATTGTTATTAGGAGTAGTCCCAGAAGATTGGAAATTAGTGATCGTTGTACCCATTCACAAGAAAGGTAGTAGGGAGGAGTCGGGCAACTATAGGCCAGTAAGCCTTACTTCAGTAGTTGGGAAAGTGATGGAAACCATGTTAGAATAGGATTGTTGAACATCTAAAATCACGTGGATTTCAAGATCAGAGATAACATGGGTTTACTTCAGGGAGATCATGCCAAACTAATCTAATTTATTTTTTTGATTGGGTAACTAAAATAATAGATCAGGGTGGTGCAGTAGACATTGCTTACCTAGATTTCAGTAAGGCTTTTGACACTGTTGCACATAGAAGGCTCATCAATAAACTGCAATCTTTAAATATTGTTGAATAGCTTAGGCAGTGGCTAAACGACAGGCAACAGAAGGTTGTAGTCAACGGAGTATATTCAAAGCAAGGTCTAGTTACCAGTGGGGTATCTCAGGGATCTGTACTTGGACCCATTCTCTTTAATATTTTAAGGTCTTGATGGTAAGGTATGTCTTTTTGCTGATACTAAAATTTGCAACAGGGTTTATGTTCCAGGAAGGATAAGCCAAATGGCAAATAATTTAGAAAAATGGTCAGAGCTGTGGCAACTGACATTTAATGTGGATAAGTGCAAGATAATGCACATTGGACGTAAAAACCCGAGGGCGGCGTATAGGATATTTGATACCCTACTAACCTCAACATCTGAGGAAAGGGATTTAGGAGTAATTATTTCAGATGACTTAAAGGTAGGAAGACAATGTAATAGAGCAGCTGGAAATGCTAGCAGAATGCTTGGTTGTATAGGGAGAGGTATTAACAGTAGAAAGAGAGAAGTGCTCATGCCATTGTACAGAACATTGGTGAGACCTCACTTGGAGTAATGTATGCATTACTGGAGACCGTATCTTCAGAAGGATATTGA